GAGAGAGAGAGAGAGAGAGAGAGAGAGAGAGAGAGAGAGAGAGAGAGAGAGAGAGAGAGAGAGACAGACAGACAGGGACACGCACAGACAGGGACACGCACAGACAGACAAACAGGGACATGCAGAGATAGACAGACAGGGACACGCACAGACAGACGGAGAGGCAAACAGACACACACGCAGACAGGGCTTTGCGGTTGTTATCTTGTTTCGTGTTTTAATAATAATTTTTTTTTTATTTTTTTTTCATCGGAAGTATCTTGAAGCACCACTACATCTGCAAGGACTGTCACCGAAAAGGCTCCACAAAGTCGGCATGTCTGTAGCACACCGATGCCGTCGATCCCGTTTATGAACGGTAGGCCCAGCCTCCTGACACTTCTAAAAGTAGGATACTCCTTAAACCTCAGAGGCGTGGATGTACTGGTGGTTTAAGTGCAGGTGCTAACACACAGTTGGGTGGTGGTAGGAACAAGAATGGAAGCAGAGTGGGTGTTCGCGTATATCGACGGGACTGTAAGGGACGTGAAGAGGAGGAATAAGGTGAAGAGATGGTTATGGTGAACTCAGGGTTCGTCCCGGGTATTGGCAATGGTGATAATATTCGAGTACTTCGATGGCTGCTGAAGCCATGGAGTTGCAATGCCCACGTAGAAGTAGAATGTAGCAGGGTAGGCAGTATTTGACCGCGGACCACCGTGGTCGGATAGAATGTGGATACTCATGGCACGACATGTTATGTCCATCGCTATCATCATCACTTGGATTCAGTGTTATGAATCTTGGTCATTGTGACATTGGTGCATTGCTGCTTGTAAAATTCAGTATGACTTCAGACCATAAATGTGGAAATCAGATTTTCGGTTTTGTGAATTGACAATCGATGAAATGCCAGACACTTTCTATTTCCGCTGCAATACTGTTAYGTAGCATTGTCCTCATCGTAAGTGCTCATGCTTCGGTACAGCAAAGGATGTATGTCAGGTCGTCTCAGAGTGCTGGAGGTGGTCTCCCTGGCACCCTTCGAATTTTGTTCGAATTGCTTTTATTGAATTCTTCACAAGTAATGTCTCTTTTGTGTGTGGTTCTCCTTGCCGTGAAC